AAGCCAATTGATGCCCATAAATATACAGTGGCGGGCAGGCAGGGTCTTTTCAGTTTAAACGGCAGTAAAATCTTTTAAATATGAATAAATCCTTGGGATTTTTTATTTTTATAAATTCTTTATATATTACTTCTATATAGAAATTAAAGAAAACAATAATTATAATTAAAAGAGATTGGCTTCTTCAAGAGTTTTAAGTATTTTCAAGATCCACTTGGGAATTCTTTTTACAAAAAATCCGTGGAATTTTTATTTTATAAATAAATAAAATATAAATATATTACTTCCATATAGAAATTAAATAAAACAATAATTATAATTAAAAGAGATCGACTTTCTTAAGTGTTTTAAATATTTTCAAGACCCACTTGGGAATTTTTTTACAAAAATAATTATTTTTTAATATTTTTTCCAAAGGACCGTAACTTTCATCACATTCTGAATACGTTCGGGCATACTCTCGACTAAATTTAGTATGTGTTTGCGAGGTATCATACGCCACTCTGTAGACCATAAAATTCTGCTAATATTTGTGACAAAATTGTTCTGTAGTTTTCCAAAAAGGAGCCCGGGGGACTCCAGCGTGGACTCGCCGGCCAGATCATTGAGCGCTTCGTGCAGAAGGGCTTCAAATTGGTCGCCCTGAAGTCAACATGGGCCTCCAAGGAGCTGTTGAAGAAGCACCATGCCGATCTGTCTGTCCGCCCCTTCTTCCGTACTCCGGTCCAGTGGTTACCATGGAGTGGGAGGCCACTGTCGTCGCGTCTGCCGAGAAGGAGATCGCCCTCTGATCCAACGAGAAGGAGCTGGACTGGACTGGACTGGATCTACCTACCAAATGGCAGTCATGTGTAGAATCCGATCTTAATCGAACGACATAAATCTGTACAGGATCAGTCCTACACTAACGTCCCCCACGATACCTCCACACTCCGTTCTCGCAAACCCATTTAGGGTCCTCTGAAATCCTCTGTCGTAGACCATTTAGCATTCGCAGGGCCTCGGGGCAGAGCCGTTTCCCGCATCCGTCAATGTTTGTTCAACTTTTTCCGTGCAACAGCAATCCACATCAAAAGTGCCACATAAAATATGAACTGCAAACCTAAATAAATATTTATTATTTGCTGCATTCTTGTCCGTCCGGTCCCCCCCCCCCGATGGTGGGAAGGGGCGAGGGGGGGGGTAGCATTTTTAGCTTAATTGAATATCAATTCATTTTAAAACGCGAGCAATAAACGGGTGGAGAGGTCGCTAACAGAGCTCTGAGGCCTCTATGATTTCCGAGGGTCCGAGGGGGTGGGTCTGGCGGGGTCTGGTGGGGGTCTGGGGGGGCTGGGCAGAAGTTTATGGAATATTTATAGCGCAAATTATTAGCATACAAAATGCAATTGATGCCCTCTAGTGATTAATTAAAATGTTTCCGAGCGCATATAAATTCATATTGTTTATTGCGGTTCCTGCAGACACACACACACACCACTCCATATACATATACATATACATATGTATTTTATGTATTTACTGGGCAATAGTTTGGCGGGGTCAAGCGCCATTTTGCGGCTCACTGCACGCCATATTTGCGGTGATAACGAGGGCCCCCGAATGGAGCTCTCAATACCCTGTAGAAGTCGGATTTGGGGATTTATTGTGATTATTTTACTATCAAAAAACCACCACTACTTCTTCAAAGGCTTCCCTGTTTTATGCTGCATCCCCGAGACTTTTCGAGGGAGGATTCCTTATGAAACACATGAATATATCCCATAAAAACTGACCAGACCAGGCCAGTATCCCCACCCCTTTTCCGACCGAATGACATGGCAACTTGGCGAAACAAAGTGAGACGAAAGTTTCTGCAAAAAAGACAAATAACCCTTAAAGTTGAAACTAACAGTGACTAAATGGAGACAAGAGCAAAAAATTTGTGTGCACTCATGGCGGAAGGAGGAGATCCAGGAGTGGCATGGAGTGTCCCAGGATGGAGTGGATGGAGTGGATGGATGGCTGGATAGATGGATGAAGGAGTAACTGAAAACGAAAGCAGCTGAAGCAGCATGAAAATCTTTTAATTGCTGCCACCAGTAGCCCAAGCAGGCGAAAGCCTTCCATTTGTCTTCCAGAAAGAGACGGCCAATGCGATTAGGTCTCTCTCGACTGGCTGTGCGAGGGAGAAGGGGGGAGTTGGAGTTGGAGTTGGAGCTGCGCCCCAGGGGAGGGAGAGCTTGGGGCCGCGTGAAATTGCAAAACTGTTTCACCTGAATGCACGAGGCACAGTACCAGCTGCCCGGCACACACCCCCAGTCTTCTGGACAATAAGACAATGCCAGAAACATAAACAAGAAACTGGTCAGAGAGTGGTATTCTGTGGACCGACAGGACGGCAGTGCTTACGCCCAGGAGTCGACAATGGATGTACCTTGTTTGGGCGGTCGGTGGTGGTCTGTTCTCTGCTGTTTGTCTCGCCTAAACACTGGTCTATCGTGGGGCTTTCGTGGATGGTGATGCCACTCGTTCAAGGTTCATTAAAACGTGATTTAGTGACAAATTTTAGACCATTTTTTGGCTTGAAAAAACACTACAAGATAGGGCTATAACATTAGGCTTTTAAAAATTAGATAATCTATTAGCAAAATGGTTGTTTTATGGGGAAAAATTAATAATAACAATAGAAATTGAATTAAATTGATTATTTTATGGGAAAAAATAAATTTTTTCTTTTGAAAATTGCAATAGAAAGGCTCTTAAAACAACAGTAAAGTTAAAAGTTATTGCTGTGCAGCACTATACATCTATACATACATTATCTAAATAATAAAAAGATAAAAATCTAAAAAAAATATATAATTTTGTTAATCGTTGCAGATGTATTTCATCTTAAAAATTACAAAAATTCAATTTAAAAAAAAAACTATAATTTTGTTTACCTTTGCTGATGCATATTTTCTTAAAAATATACAAAAAATTAATTCTAAAAAAAGTCTTAAAAATTAAAAATTATTCAAAAAATATTTATTTTTATCATTTCAGATGTATTTTATCTAAAAAGTTTAAAAGTTAATTCTAAATAAAAACTATATTTATTTTTATCGTTGCATTTTTACCGTTGCTGATGTATTTTTTCTTAAAAATAAACAAAAAATTAGTTCTAAAAAAATCTTAAAAATTTAGCACATTAATTTAAGGAAAATATATTTATTTTTATTGTCAGATGTATTTTATCTAAAAAGTTAATTCTAAATAAAAACTATATTTTTTTTATCGTTGCAGATGTATTGTATCTTAAAAATTACAAAAATTAAATCTAAAAAAACTATAATTTATTTTTACCGTTGCTTAAAAATAAACAAAACATTATTTCTAAAAAAAATCTTGAAAAGTAAACAAATTATATACAAAAAAAATATAATTTCTTTATCTTTTCTGATTTATTTTATCTAAAAAGTGAATTATAAAAAAACTTTATTTTTTAACGTTGCCGATGTATTTTATCTCAAAGATTAAAAAAATGCTGATGATAGTTGGGGCTTACCGTAGCTCAAGGAGTTTTTATGGATGCTTTTTAACCTTTGACAATATTTATCTTCTTATCCGGAAATCCTTGAAATCCCTAAAAACTGCACTCTTTAAAGACTGCAAAACGCATTGTACTGTTTATTACCTTACAACTAAAGCACTTTAGCGGTCACTGAAAGGACTCGAAAAGGCTGCTCGACCCAAGATGCCCCATCAGCGGCCTTTGGCACTGACCACAATGGAGCCGAGAGCCGAGAGCCCAGGAGCCCGGGAGCCGTTCAATAAAGTCCTGCCCACTGAAACCTCTCATTTTCTCAGCCACCTTCTTTGTTCGAGCGTATGAAAAACTACAAAAAAAAAATATAGAAAACGAAACAAGCAAAACAGGGGAAAACACAAAAGTAGCAGAAAACACTACACACAAAAAAAGAAAACACAGAGCAGGAAAAAAAGGAGGAAAAACTTCAAACAATGGGCAGCCGTCAAAGTGAGCGATTGTTGGAACGTGTCGGGGCATCAATAGAGGGAGAGGGGGAGAGCCAGTGGGGACAAATCCAAGTGGGCACCAGAACAAGGGGGCTAATTCCCCAAACTGCAGCTGAAGAATGGTCAAAAACTGCAGGGGAGCTCCCATGGAGTGCAAAAATTAGACCCGCCCGGCCGCAATCAGGAAGTCCACATAGCACCCCACCCCCAGAGCCCCACCCCCAGCCCCAGCCCCAGCCCCCCTCGGAACCATTTGCGGCATCAATTTTCAATTTGACTATGCAAAGATGCGAGGGCCAGAGAAGTCTCTTTTATGCCATAGAAATCGTTATAGAAACTTTCTTGAGATGTTGCCAGGGCCCCCTTCAGGCCATCAAAAGCAGAGCTTAAGCAAACATGCCACAATGAATGAATATCCTTTTTATTCAAATGCAGTTGGAAGATGGAAGATGGCAGATGCTGGATAGAAGATAGTAGATAGAAAATGGAAGATGGAAGATGGATGGGGCCGCTGCCGTTGGTGTCGAGAAAGCATCTTAAGAAAATTGTAATTTTGATGTCAAACAGCGATTAAAAGCAACGAGATTACCTGCTGCATATTGCATGAATGCATTTATTGTGTTTGCCCAACGCCACTCTTCCATCCGCATCTGAAAGGGGATGGGGATGGAGGGGGGGTGGGAATCGCATCACACCAAATGCAGACATCGTTGAGCTCATTTGCACTTTGACGCGTTCTCTGGCATGCTGGCATGACACGACATGCCCCGGCCCGTCTCGGCCTGGCCCTGCCTTGGTGTGGCGTGTGGCAGAGGACGAAACTGCCGCGTCAGCCAGGTGCCACTGATGGCAATGACGATGTTAACGAGTCCACAAAACAGCACTGTTCCTACGCTCCCCATTGTGTGGCAGACACCCGAACCCAATCGTTGCAAATAGGCAAAAGGCAGAGAGAGAGTTCAATCCGCCAAAAGTCGCACGTATAGGGTAGTCCTGGTGTCTCAGGGCATATACTTTATACGATTCTTAAGGCAAACAACCGTCACGACTGCCGTAGATGATGCGCATTTCCCGAAAGAATCTTGAGCGAATAACGGACTCCGTGCGGAGAGCGAGATCGTGACGTTCGGGATTGTCGAGGCCGGGCTTGATGCCGGGCTTGTGCACCAGAAAGGCATTGTCCAGGATGTGAAACTCATAGCCCAGAGCACACATGGCATAGGCCTGGGTCATCTTGTCGCTCATCGCCTCCCAGCTCAGGCGCTCGTCGTACGGCGGATCCGTGGTGGAGCCAATGAAAATCGGCTCCCAGCGGTTCTCCCTGCCCATCCGAATGCCCTTGTGAGAGACATTCAGCTCATCCGAGACGCTGGCATTGATCCACTCCTCCAGCTTGGGTCCCTTGTGGCAGTGGGGGCAGATGTTCATGTGGAAGGGCACCGCCTGCGAGCTCCACAGCATGTCCTGCAGCTGCAGCTTGTCGCTGGGCATCGTCGCATTGGACTCCACCTCAAAGATACGCAGCACATAGACCACCGGCACCGGCACCGGCACCGGCAAGTGCTTCGCTGTGAACCCGTCGCTGTGGCGTCCGAGCATAGTGAAAAACTTGGGCACCAGGCCCGGCGTGGGATACAGCTCGATGTCCGAGGCCAGAACGAAGTGGGTGAGCGCTGCCTCCCGGGCTATGTTCCGGCCAGTGTTGACGGGATAGTCGAGGTCCTTCTGCGAGCGGTAGGTCCGCCTTCCGACGGTTCCCTCATAGGGTGGCCGTCCACCGCAGTCCAACTTCCGTGCGAGAATCGTCTCTGCCCTGAGCACAACCCTGGGCGTGTGTCCCACTTGAAAGTAGATGTGGAAGCTGGTCAGACCGCGCACCAGGTCCCGACCAGCATCGCACTGCAGCAGCCACAGGATGCTCTCGATGGTCGGCTCCCAGTCCGTGCCGGGTGCGTACAGAGCCAGACTCAAAGGCGATCTCCAGCGCTCCAGCAGCGGCACCAAATTGTCCAAATACCTATAGTCCGCATGGGTTGTATAGGTCACGTTCGAGGAGCAGCTCATCCGTCCATGATCCGCCCGCACAAAGTTCTGCAAGACCCAGAATTTTCCACGCAATCTGTTAACGGACTTGTGCTCTCGATCTTTACAATTTCGAAGCTTCCCAAGGTCGACCCATGTCGTCTCCTGCTCCACCAAACGTGCATTAGAGACAGAAATCTGATCGACAAACAGGAAAACCAAAACTAAAAGTATATACATATTTTTTATATGAGTTAAATGGCAGTTCCTGTGCTTATTTATCTACGATTCATTGGGAACAGCAGTATTTCTGGTTAGGATTTCTGGTTACATCCTAAAGAATCTTTGGTATTGCCTTTTTCCAGGTTAAAATTGAATAGACCAACGAAAAAAAGGCAGACGGATGGGCCCTTCTTCATCTTGCAGTAACAGCGAGCCGTTACACTGTTCGGTAACAGCCTGTTAACGGAGCGTGGTACATGGCACCCTTAACAGACGGTTAACAGCGCTGCCCACAGCTTTTCTTATCCCTTTTCTCAGTTACTGTTTCTATATTTTTGTGCCATGTTTTTGTTTAGTGAAAAGTTCAACCGCAATGTTCCGTAGAAGTCCAGTTCTTCTACTGGGGGGGGGGTGAAAAATCTGTTAAAATGGTAGCGATGGCAATAGGCTCTTAAAAAAAGCTAATGGAACATATGGCAGCCAGACCAGAGCCAAGCGAACCCACCCAACGCCCTCTCCCCGCCTCATCCGAGTAAAGGAGCCTCCAATGGTCCCCTCTTTCCTGTTCTCTTGTGCACTGAGAAAAGCATTCGACTCCGATTGAGCCGAGAATTTTTACAAAGTCGTTTTTTGATTGATTAGAATATCCATAAAAGTCGCATTTAGTGTTCCGAAAAGCAGGCCGAAGTTTCTCGTCGAATTGGAGTTTCACAGACGTAAATTTTTCGTGAGGGAAAGATTTTGTATATTTTGTTATCGAGCGAAATGTTAGGCCGCGATGGACGTTCAGACAGTCACCCATCATCCGGTAGCCGCTCGGCTCCAGCTGCCGATCGTGCTGCCGCTCCAGCACCCATGGCCGCGCCACCCAGCGACGTCGGGATGCCGGCGCCCTGCCAGCCTTCGATGTTGCCGCAAACAACCGCCAATCTGTCCAAACTGACGATCTGCGAGGGATTCGATGAGCCGCTAAGCAAGTGCAAGATTTGGAATCCCTTGCAGTAGAGTTGCTGGAAGACCAGAAAACCACAACATAACAGGACACTGGAGAAAAGACCCTCGCACACACCGCCACCTCTGTCAGCCACATCGACAGAAGTCCTTGGATTGAATTGCTTAGAAAAAGTATCCAGAAAAAGACGAAAATTGTTGAATTTTAGTGCAAAATATTGTTGAATAGAAACCCCATGGGCAGCCCCAACAATGGCGATAAAAACGGAAAAAAAACCATGAATAATGCCTCTCAAAACCCGTGTGGATCGTTAGAGCGATTACAGTGCTCTGCACTGTAGAACGGTTGCAGACTGTTAACGGAAAGCGGCTCCCGTGAGTCTGTTACCGGGCCTGTTGAAAGACTGTTAACCAAAAGGGGTATCTTTGAGGCTGTTACCGGGGCTGTTAACAGGCTTTTTACATGGGCTGTTCACTGGAACTGTTAACGACTGTTAACGGGCTACTAACGCGGGCTGTTAACATCGCTGTTGCTCTGTTATAGCTGTTGCTTTGAACAGTCCGTGTTTTTTTCATCAATGTGAAGTCGTAGTTCCGTTAATTACGAACAGCGACATAATTGAAGATTCCTGTGAATAGTGCGGATAATCTGCCATGAATTTGATGCCACATTTCTCTCAGTGCACCCTTTCCACGTACAATTTCCGGCTGAACACATTTTGTGGTCGGGCGCAAATGCATTTATATTTGAACAGCAGCAGAGAAAGAGAGAGAGAGAGAGGGAGAAAGGACCAAAGGATGGGAAAGCTTAAGCCATTTCATTTTTGGTTCGTTGGCGTTTGCAGCATTTGCTATTTTGCACTATTTTTATGAGTCACTGCGGGGGCAGGCATCACCATCAGCTGGGAGCTCTGTGGGTGGAAGCTGGAAACTGGACCAGCCACGGGGCACTCATATTTCTTAGAACTCCGACAAACACTCACAGAAACTAATAGAGAAAACATCGAAGCCAAACCAAATAAACATTGGAAAAGCGAAGAACAAATACAGAAACAAAAATCTACCCTCAATAAGTACTTGTAAAGGGAATATGAAAGAAAGCCTTACCCTGGGATTGTAATTACAAAGAGAGTGGTGGAGAGAGAGGGGGAGGGAGAGGGGTAGTCCTTGAAGACTAATGGCAAGAAAATGGTATTGTAATGTCAACAATTGGTCACTGGATGATTGCCGTGAAAGAAGTACTAATACCCGTCATAAGTTCCAGGAGAGCTATATTTGAAGATACTTTTAGTAGATTTGTTGGGTATTTTCCTGTATAAAAGGTAACTAACTATATATCGTCCCCTGATTGCCCAGAGACCCAGGGCTCCCCGCCCCATCCCAGAACTAATGCAAATGCTGTTACTTCCCATAGATTATCGACTCGAAGGAGAAGAAGCTACGAGTGAGACTGCTTTGTCCATGAGCTCAATGCTAACTCAATTCCGGAAGGAGGCCGGAAGATGAGGCCAAGATCCAAGTTCATTTGTAATTTATTAAACGCAGCTATAAACAAATCGAAAGCGAAATGCTCGCCCTTGGTCCTGCGGGCCCCCCAATGACCGCATTTATGTCGATTTAAGCCCTATTGGCTGGACCGATGGTCGGGACGGTAGATAGAGAGAGAGGGAGAGAGGGGGAGTCACTAAGTCAATCGCTTGGGCTCTCCTTCTGTCCGTCCGGCAATGGAACTCTGGCACGGCGTATTTTGTGGACTGCAGACACGCACCGGCCTATGGAACATGCATGGGGCCCCCCCTGATGGAAAGGGAAGCAGATTGCACATAAATAGCTGCCAGAAGTCAGCCGGGTTCACTGAGAGAATTTTCAGTGTCTTGCCAAAGGGCTAGGCAATATTTTTAGGGGCCAATAGTTTGAAGTTCGAAGAATTTTAACGCCGAACTGGTCAACGATATGGCAATAATTGTTTTTGGTAAGCCAAAAGGAAGGATCTGTCTTCAGGGAGAATTTTCAAATAGCATAATTTTTCGGGATTTACAAAAAAAGTTTCCACCTGCGAAAATTTAGTATAAAATATTTTTGGAGCGGCACGTTATGGGTTAAAAGAGAAAGATCTTTTCCCAAAAGAAAATAGAGAATAGCGGAAAGCGACCATAATATAGAAAATGTTTGGCCTTGGTCTGGATTTAATAACTATCCGATCGGTAAGGTTTGTATAATTGGATTTTAATTAACATTAAAAATCACACATTTAATTTTCTGATTTTTTTATTGTATTGAGTAAAGGTGCTTCCAAGACTGAGCTAAAGATTATTAATCAAAGGCTCTGCAGACTCTGATAGTTCTATGTTAAGTGAAAGCGATGTTAAGCTTAACATGGTTCATGTATTTGATGACTATTGATGATCCCTGAAAGTGTAATTTAGGTTAAAGCGATTTTAAGCTTAACATGGTTCGTGTATTTGATGATTCTTCAAGATTTTGGATTGAAGCTCTGCAGATCCTGAATGTTATATGCCATGTTAAAGCGATGTTCAGTTTAACATGGTTCGTGTATTTAATGATTATTGAAAATGATTGATCTGAGCTCTGCAGACCCTCAAAGGGTTTTGTTATGTTAAAGCGAGTTTAGTTTAGAATGGTTCGTGTATTTGATGATTATTGATCTGAGCTCTGCAGAGCCTGATAGTTATGTTTAACATGGTTTGTGTATTCGATGAGAGTGAATTAAAGATCCTTGTCTGTTAGATTTACATTTAATTTGGGTGATGAGCTTTTTTGGCTAGGCGTTAACATATGTATTTGAGAACATATGTATATATGTATATCCCATATATTTGGGGAAAATAGTTATAAGAAATGCATTTACATCCCAGTCCTCTACCAGGAGTTCCGCTTGTAACAAGGACATTTTCTGTTTTGCCAGTGCATCGATGGGCACTAAGCTAATTTACTTTCATATGAACCGAACCGCACAGACCCGAACCGAAGCGAGGGTGGCGGTGAAGGCATGCGGCACGGTGGGGCGGGGCGGGTCGGAGTTGTTCCAAAACCCAAAACCGAATGCAATGAGCATCTACATAACGCCCAGGAGTGATTTTCTGTGTCATTTGGTTGTAATCGTGTCTGTTGTTTGTTACTTATTAGTGTGTGTGTGTGCGTGTGCGTGTGTGTGTGTGTGTGCGGTCCGTGTGTGGCATATTGCATGTTCTATGCCATATTGCGGCATTTGCATGGATGAGTGTATCTATGAGGTCCTGTGTATCCCTGCGTATGCGTGTGCGTGTGCAGTTTGACTTGTCTTAATGGTCATGTTAAACAAATGTTTATCAGGCCATGCAGCTGCTGCTGCTGCTGTTGCTGTTGCTGTTGCTGCTGGTGGTACTTCCATCTTTCATCCTTCCCCACGGAAGGCCTAAGCCCAGGCCAGCCCCGCTCCGGAGCGCTCGTAAGCCCCACCTACAGTCAAGGCCATTAGTCAATTTGGTAGCAGTTGTTGTTGTTGTTGCTGTGCAGCAGCCGCACATGAAATATGCCCAAGTCTTCCAAGGAATAGAGCTAAGGTTAAGGTTAAAGTTAAGTGTTTTGTCAAATGTGCAGCAGGCCAAATGGCAAGCTGACAAATTTCATATTCAAACATCTAATAGATTGCACACACAAATGCACAAAAGATATACGGATGAATTCAATCGCCAACAAGCCCGAACATGTGTTTGTCCATATGCCAGCGATCTGGCCAAAACATCCACACACACCGAAACGCAACAACAAGCGGGTTCCAGTAATTCAATTATGCAATGATGCAGCTCCTTGTGGTCTCTCTCGGTATCCCCAAAACTGTCGAATACCGAATTCCGAGAAGAAAAGCATTCTTTCAACGGGATACAAATACGAGTATGTTATTTGTTAATGAAAAACCTCAATGCTAAGGGCAATGTCTCGACGAGATGAACGCTTTTCAACGATGAAAATACCTGTCCGATCTTTGAAATCTATGAAATGGCTTTGGGGGTATCTGTGGTAAGTCGTTAACGATATCAGAAGCAGGGAAGCAGGAACCCTGCTTGAGACACCAACTGCCGTCACAATCGTAGCTATGAGGACACCAGCTACAGAGGCAAATAGTGTGGCGGATAGTGGGACACTGGTCCTTAAAATACTCCCAGTTTTTACCAAACTATAGATTACTTCATCGATTGAAGTGGCAGTGGCAGTGGAACTCGTAAAAGTAGCAAGGATACTTGTAATCATGGCAGTTTTGGGGTTCCGATTGCGGGGCAAGCGTTATGCCCGGCAGCGATACGGAGGAGTCCAATGGCTCCTGGGCCGAACGAGGATCACGCATATCTGATACTTTAAGTGGACCCACAGACAGCACCTCCTATCAGATGCCCAAGGAGCGGCCCAACACGGTGGCCCTTCAACGTCCCCCTGATGGATGGGGGCTGGAGATCCTGAGACACTGCCCTGCTCTCCCCCAACGAACCAGAAGAAAAACTGCGCTTGCCTTGTCGTCGTCATCTCTCTATTTTGTTTCACAACTGGTGCAAACATGTCGAAGCTCTCTTACTTGGAGAGCCAGGAGCACGGGCTTGGAGACATTATCCAAGAGCCAACTGGACAAGTACGAGGAGCTTGGCCCGCCCTCCGTCCCGGTAACCGACAGCACTCTCGCTCTCATCATTCGTAGTTTGCGCGCAGCCATTTTTTGCTCGCCCCAGCTGAAGCAGCAGCCGTGCGTTTGTTCTGGGGCGAGGCCGAAATCGCTGGGCGCCAACTTCGAATGATGACAGTACGATAGCTATCGGTTACTGGAATGCAGGGCGGGCCAAGTTCATCGTGCTTGTCCAGGTGGTTCCAGGATAAAGTCTCCAAGCACGAGAGGTCCGGAGGAGATGAGACCCTTTGCTCCAGATCGTCGAGAAACAGTCCATCCGCTATGATCTATGCTACCCGCCTTCCATGCTACCTTCTCCAAGCGAATGCCGTGATGGTTAGAGACCGAAATCGCTGGGCGCCAACTTCGAATGATGACAGTACGATAGCTATCGGTTACTGGGATGCAGGGCAGGCCAAGTTCATCGTTCTTGTCCAGGTGGTTCTAGGATAAAGTCTCCAAGCACGAGAGATTCCCACAAGATTCCCAGCCTCGTAGACATCGCCAAGATAATTGGTTTTTCCGGGATCACACCTCTTGAAGAAGGAGAGACGTGCGCGTGAAACGCCAGAACAACCTCCAGCACCTGCATGGCTCGCATAGGTGTATCGTAAGTCCCATCTATAACATGGCTGCAAAGATGGGATATTGCCTGGGTTTTGAACTCTTTCACTGCTCACACAAAACCTCTTTCAGCATCACTCACATGTTCAGCACAGCGCATGTGGAACTCCAGATCTTTTGTCTCCTTTATTCGAAGATTGTAAATCAGAGTACGACCTGGAGAGCAGAAAGCAATGTTCAGAGCAACAGCTTGAATTGGCGCTGGATAGGAAAAATATTACTTACCGTCAGCGTCACTTCCTCGCCTTCTCCGTCGTGTAGCACGAGGCCCATGAGTTGGGGGGGAGATGGAGAGGAGTATGGGAACGGGAGCCGCCTTGGCGTTGCTAATTGTAGCCCTGAGGACGCTGTTGATCGCCGTCCTGTCCTCGCTCGCAGGCGGCGCACAAGGTCGGCCCTCGGCCATGCCTGCTGCCACCGCCGGCATGGCCAAGTGCGACCAGTTGATGAAGGATCACGAGCACGAAGTCAGTCCGTAGAATCACCAGCTTCTGTAGATTCGCGAGTGGAAGAAAGACATAAATTAAAAAAATACCAACCATATCAACAATTGACGTGCATAAACTATTTGGCTATAAACTACTATAAACTATCCGTGCAGCACGGAAACAATCGAGTAGCCTTTGAATAAAATGTCAAAATTTGCCAACTTGTTTCCGCTAAATTCGGCCGAGTACGATATACGAGTGACAGCCTCGAAGAGGTTGACATTGGAAACTTTTCATCTTTTCTTGAATCGCGATTTTTAGAGCACAGGCCCGTACCGAGTTCCTTGCAGATGTCCCCCAAAAGCCACAGAACAATCCTTCACTTGCCTTTCACTGGATGCAGTTGTAGGATCTTAACGGGCTGGGGCTTTCCGACCTCCCGACCTCCTGCTTGGGCGTTTGCTCTTTGTTCTGATCGGAATAAAGTTATTTTCGTTTTTATGCTATTAATTTTGCATTTCACTTTTCAACTTTTTTCTTTTCACATTTCACATTTTAAATTTCAAATTTTGTTTTGTTTTAGATCTAATCCCGACGACTGAATCGATTCGAATGACTGAAATATTTATTTCCCTTTGGCTAATGCTAGACCTTTTACTGAGAACAAGTTTGACGTAAAACACTGTGCTGTGTGATCGATTCTAGGAATCTTGTAGTCGAGTCTGTGGGTAAGTGATTCATTTTCATCACGTGTGCAGGTTTTTATTGCTCAAATGACAGGTATTCGAAGCGTCTAGGGATACGTGGGCATGGACTGTGTGGGTGGGTTCTGTTCCCCCCGATGTCCATCGATTGTTATTTTTACTGTTTCTCACCGCCGAAGCTTGGATTCCTTGTGGTCCCCCCCGAGGCACTGGAAGCCTCTTTGTAGTCGGTAAATTCATATTCCATTGTGGCGACGGCAGTTGCTTGGTGTCTCAACATTTGGCTCTGAAGCTGGTGCCTTTGCCCCTCAAAGCTGAGCTTTCATAGATTCAAGCGCAAAAGGTTCTAGAGAGCGCTCTCTCTGAGCCGCGCTCGCACGCGCACGGCTCGCCGTACTCCCGATAGATGGGCTTTCATGGCAAAAAGCTTCATCCGATCTATGCGGCGCAGAGCAGACTGCAGAGCCAAATATTGAGACACCAACTGGCGTGGCCGCAATCAAGTGCCACAATCGATGTTGATGCCACCAGCTTCAGAGGCAAGTCTTGTAGCGGATATTGAGACACCCACTGAAAAGTGGCTTCCAGTCCGAATGCATTGAAGAGCAGTCCTTGGGTCCTTACCTGAACTGTGCTGATTCCTCCCGTTCCTGGTGTTGTGTATTCTTGTGTGCTTCTAATTTCGAGAGGTTAGGGCCGACTTCCGTTCCGACAGAACACCAAAATTTCCATCCGACTACTTTATAGCTGCCATCGGAACGATCTGTCAAAAACAAACTGCTTGGACTTTGAAATACAGACAATCATCCGAATAGTCTAGCATTTTGTTTCAAATAACATTGGCAGCAGTTATTTTTGTGAACTCGTTGAACAAGCAAGGATAGGAGCAACCAAAAATAATATCAGAATCAAATATTTGTCGAAATTATTATATTACGGTGATTTCGTCGCGTTGCGAACAATTTTGGAATTTTTCATTGTAATTTGCTAAAAATAGAAAGGGAACAACTGGAAATGTCGGGAATGTCGGATAAATTTAAGAACTTTGTGGCAGAGTCCATGGGCGACAAGGATGCCGCAGAGTTGCCTGGAATTGGATCGATGCTGGCCGAACGCTTGCACGAATGTGGATTCGAAAAGGTGCGTTGTGTTCGCCATGTACGGCAACGATTGCAAGGTATCAGCAAACATATAACGATTAAATACCCCCAGGCATACCACCTGCTCGGCCAATTCTTGGTGTTTGGAAAAGATGAAAAACTGTTCGTTATGTGGTTAACGGAATCTTTCCAGGCCAGCTTTGAGCAAGCTTTAGACTGCTACGATTGCCTCTACCGATGGTGCGATTTGTTCTTGTAAGCGACTTCTCAGTCGGCTTAGACGGGTCCTTTCTGGAAAGGAAACGAAAGCAGATCGGCAGCAGACAAAGACCAGAGCCACAGCAGACAAACAGCAAACAAACAGCAGACAAACAGCAGAGCAACAGCGGATCAACAGCGGATCAACAGCGGATCAACAGCGGTAACAGCAGAATAACAGCGATAACAGCAGATTAACAGTAACAGTAACAGAAGAGTAACGGCAGCAACGACACAAGGAGAGCAGTGCACTGCAGAGAACAGAGGAACAGCAAAAGAAATCGTAAAAGAAGCAGCAGCAGCAGCAGCAGAATTCTGCCCAAATCAAGCAATCAATCAATAAACTAATAAATTACATCTTAAATAATATATAATATATGTTAGATACACATGACCAGGCTGAAAGAAAAAGACCCTTAAAACTTGTTGAGTTCTTTTGAAAACCTTTTGAACTTTTGACAGAGCTCTTCTGGCGGTTGAACACTCAGAACTCAGAACTCGCCCAGAAGTGTGCATCTGCCAGAGCTGCACATTCGACCCAATTAAATGTATATACTCGTACTCGTATGCTTATCATAAATCTGTGCACCTCCCCACCACCAAAGCAGCCCCCGCGAGCAGAATTGTTCACTTAACTTCGAGCGAACTGTTCAAGTTATGCGGCTGCTTGAGGGCAGCACTGGCACTGGCAATTAACATTTCATACGAGTATCAGGTCGGTTGGATTCTGACATACACTCTCGAGCATAAAGTTATGTTCTGTTCACGCTCTGGCAGCTCTTGCAATTGATGGAAAGAAACGCATCACAGCAGCCCCGAAGGGTGTTGCTGGCCCGCTGCAAGGCCAAATCGAATATTTTCATTTGAAAGAGGAATTATTTTTTGTGTTTTTTTTCCTTAAATATTAAATTTGTAATCGCCCCCCGGGAATATTAATAAAATTTATTTGATATTTACAATATTAATGAGTTGTCGAGAGCAGAAAAGTGCACTGAAAATACTCGTATTACTCGTTTGTGATGGGGACGAAAGCTGGGGACGAAGCCTGTGATACCCTCTAAAAAAACTTACCTGGGATACCCCGAAAAGGAATGTGACCATCTTGGGGCTGTCTATCATCGAGGCACCAACAAGTGGAAAATGACTTTCCACTTTCCACTCTTCACTTTTCAATTCAATGCCCCCCCGCTAACCTGGGGCCCCCTCCTTGGCATACTAATACGCACAAATCAAACTCAATGCGCTTGTCAAATAAATATTGAACAGACACACAGGGACTCTCAGTCACAGTTACACACATGGAAAAGCGGAAGCTAAATGCTATAAAAGCGATTCCCTGCACTTCGTTTTTGCCCCCCTGCTTTCCCCCTGCTGGCCGCCCTTCTGTCTGTTTGCGCTACGTTTTCAGTTGAAAGGCAAAATTAACAATATGCAAAATTCATGTTAAAATATCGGAAAAATATATATTTCTTTCCTGCGCGCAAGCAAGCAATCCCTTTTTCCTTTCATTCTCTTGGTGGCCCGCCAACCCCCAACCCCCAACCCCAACCCATAGCCGTAGCCTCTTTTTTTCGTGCATCCTTTGCGCTCTTTTCGTTTGGTTTGGCAGCACGAATAAAAAACGAAATAAGCAGGAAGCGCAAGTATGGCCAACGGGCAATGAACGATGTTTGTATGCCCTTCGACAATTACTACCATTACACGTATTTCGGTTGTAGGAATGCCACCCAGGCGGTCCTGGCCTTTCCGTCAGAGTTTTGGCATTGCAAACCCTCGTAAGACAAGCCTCTTTTTGAGGGAAATATCATCATTACGCCTTTGACTGGACCTTAAGTCTGGTATAGAAATGATCCATTAGAAGTTATGGAACCTTAACGAACTATGAAAAAATAGAACAATATTGTGGCATTCCTAAGTGGAAGATCGATTACTTCTGGTATACTGATAATAACATACAATATTTGGTTTTTTTGTATAGGATATTATGCAGGAGATCCCTGTTTTATAGGATACTAAGCAGGAGTTCCCTTTTGTATGGGCTAATAGGCAGGGGATCCCTTTTGTCTAGGATACTAAGCAGGAGATTCCTTCTGTATAGGATACCATGCAGGAGATCCCTTTTTTATAGGATACCATGCAGGAGATCCCTTTTTTATAGGATACTAAGCAGGAGATTCCTTCTGTATAGGATACCATGCAGGAGATCCCCTTAGTTTACAAAGTGTGTCTGAGCACCATCCATAGATAGTTACACTCCTTTTCCCCTAACATAGAACATGTTCTTCCGCCTTTACCGAAAGCTATTCTCTCAAGCTCCCAGATTGGACCACCTTTCGCTATGATTTGGCAGGCACGAGACTCTCTCATGGGGTCCGATGTTGGGGGCTTTTATTCCGCACAAAATATGTACATATAAAACACAAATAATTGCCTTGATTAATCATTCAGTGGCATATTTCATATACAAATAATGTTACCCTCTTGAAGCGTGTATCAAGGGTTGGTGGGGCGTTCTCTGTGGGTGGAGCGGGTTCGTTCGAGCGGCTTTCATATGCTCCATGCCAAGCAATAAAAATGTTACTGGTTGCCGCTGCCGCTGCCGCTGCTCCAGGAGTACCGTTGAATGAATGAATGGAAGCGTCGACCCATCGCCGAGTCGACTACACGAGATGCGGAATCGAATCGAATCGAATCTCGAAATTCTTTTGCTACCCGGCAAAGTGAACGAGTGTGTGTGTGTGTGTGTGTGTGGTTGAGTGGTTGTGTGTGTGGGTGATGGAGGTTTGAGTGTGTGCATATAAAAATACAGTTATCTGTTCTATTTGCGCATTTATAAATATTTGTTTGCATCAGTTCTCGGCATGAACATTAAGCCAAAAGCTCCAAGGCCCAGAGACAGCGACAGAGCCCGACCCCGAACCAGATTCAGACCCACAGATCCAGTGCCCCAAGACAGACCGTCTCCCAGTCTGCTTTGATGGTCTGGCAGTAGTATGTGTGTCGGCGAGAGTTATTGAATTGAGCTTTAGTCGTGAGCGGGTTGCCGACCTTTTGCCCCCCATATCCAACCCAAACCCAATCCCAAGCCCAGCCCTGGGGATACTGACACCCCCGAAAAGAAACGAAAATCTCTACTCAACCTTTTCCCCCACTTCGGCTTTTGTTGCTCTTTTGTTCGGGCCCTGTTCCAGCGGTCTTTATTTGAATTGTTTGGGCATAAGTATGTCAAATTTCAAACCATTTACTGGACTCGGCCAGTGCATAAAGCAAGGGGGATGCAGGGGACACACACAAAAAAGCGAGTGTGTTGCCATTTGATGGTTTTAAAGCGTCTTTGGGGGGTTTTTCGGCCGGGCCCAAGGTCAGGGTCCCTCCCTCCAGTGTTTGCCAGTCGAAAATTTAATAAATATTATATACTCGTATATGAAGGGATTATGTTACGGGCAGATATGGCTATCAAACGGGTACTTTTAAATATTCAAAGGATTGCCTCGGGGCGCGTTGGGTCGCATACGAGTTCAGCCTTACACACATGTACTCATGTGTACTTATTCGTAAGTTGATTGCAATTTAAATTTAATTTTTTATAAATGAATGATGATCCTGGTCTTAATTGGGGCAACATACAAACATAAATGCGGATTGCTTATCAATCTTTTGACTGATTGAAATCATAACTGACTTTATTTTATAGCAGCTTTAATGCGGTACTTTATTTATAATGGAGTCTTTAAGGTTTGCTACTTGATGAATGCAATTTGTGTATATATTTTAAGATTCGATTACGACTATTCTTAGGAATAAGCACTTTCTTCATGATAATTTATTGGTAGTATGGCGGATCTAGATGTACTTATCCAACGAAGAGCACTTGTAGAATACTTGTAGGCTTGTAGAATTACTTGGAACTCTAACTCTGGTGTCTATAAATGCATATATGTACATATTTCGTGCATTTCTGTGATTCGTGGGAATATAACAAGCATTATAACAAGCTAAGGCCTGCCGAAAGCCGTGTGGAATGTGATAACAGAGCAATCCCCCTGCGCTGTTAAAGAGCGCTGTGCCTGGCTGTTAACCGGGAGCGAAAACAGGCTGTTAACAGAGCGATCCTCCTCTCAGTGCGCTGTTAAAGAGCGCTGTGCCTGGCTGTTAACTGAGTGCGATAACAGGCTGTTTACAGAGCGATCCTCCTCTCAGTGCGCTGTTAAAGAGCGCTGTGCCTGGCTGTTAACTGGGAGCGAAAACGGGCTGTTAACAGAGCGATCCCTCTCTGAGTGCGCTGTTAAAGAGCGCTGTGCCTGGCTGTTAACTTAGTGCGATAACAAGCTGTTAACCTGGATTGCTAACAGCGCGGTACTCCCTGTTACACGCCTGTTATTCCCCTGAATTGTTGTGTGGTGTTAGTGGAATAAGAACTCATAAAATTAATAATACCATTCGCTATTCAAACACTGAATGATTTCTGATAATTCTGCTTCTTTATTAACCATATATACACCCAGAGAAAATCCCAGAGCATCGAATACAAATAACTCTGACGAGATATATTTATATTCCATTGAAATATATTTACTAAAAATTAATATACACTTGATGAGTATTTTGAAGTGTTTTATATTTAGATTATTTTTAATTGTATTTACTTTCAGTCCGTGTGTCTATAAACGGCAATTATTTAGTGTAAATATAGATGTATTTATTTTTTTATTGACTCTTAAAATACCTGCGCATTTTAATCCTTATCAATATACAAAAATACTGATTAAAAATACACAGATAATAATTAATTTTAATAGATTTATTTTGGTGATCTCTCGACTTTATTATTTATTTATTTTACATTCCACTCATGTCTTTTACAACAAAACTTGAACCAGGAAAAAATACCTATACATGAATATATGCATTATTAATAAAAAATATCAAAACCAATGAAAAACTCTGGCCAAAACGTGAACTTCGAACCTTGAGTGCTATATCCCTGAAACGCACTGTAGCTCTCTGGGGCACAAACATAG